AAGAGGTTATAAAAACATGTCAACAAGGATGAAATAAGCTATTGCAGCCTGAGGGAGGTGAGGCAAGTGTTTTAAGTTCAGCTAAAATAAAGGTTTTACAAATGAGGTTGAGTCATAGAGAGTAAGCTCCACATTAGGGGTTTCAGTTAATAAACATAAATATCAGTGGGTGTGTGCAGCTTGCCTCCATAGGTTTTAATCAGGCCAGTGCTTTCCTCAAATGAAACTGATCACTAAGAAGAGAACAATATTCTTGTCCAAACATGGAGGCACCTACTAGTTATTAAAATGTCATAGAAGTTTATATATATCCTTTTCTCAACCTCATCCTTCTTGACCTCTCTGCACCTTTCGATATTACTGTCAATCAATATCTTCTTGTTACTTTCTTCTTTATAGATTTTCCTGACATTGCTTTCTCCAGGTTTTCTTCCTGTCTGTTCTTATTGCTCCTTCTCATTCTCCTTTTTTGGATCTTCATTTACGTCATTCCTGATAACCATAGTTATCCCACAATGCTCTTTCCTTGTACCTTTTTTCTTCTCCTTCTATGCTATCTTTTTTGGTGATTTCATAAACTCCCATGAATTCAATTTCATCTCTGTATAGATGCCTCTAAGATGTATTTATCCAGCACTAACTTCTTTTCTGACCTCCACTGTCATATCCCCAACTTCCTTTTAGACATTTCAAAATGAATATCCTACAGATATCTTGATTTCTTTTAGACATATCAAAAAATGAACCACTTTTCTTTCTTCCCAAAGCCCTCCCCTCTTCCAAATTTCCTTATTTACTATTGAGTATATCACAATCCCTTAAGCATGTCATTGAGTGTATCTCCAGCTGAATAGTCTCCCTAACCAGGTATCACTATTTATCACTCTCACTCATCCCCCATATAACATTGTCAGTGCTTGGCATATAGTAAGCACTTAGCAAATAAAATACTTGCTGACATGTTGAATTGACTATTGTGATATTTTATCTGATTAAAATAAAAGACTTCTCTGAAGAAGTGGTCTCTAACCTGACATTCAATCTCTGTAGGGATAGACAAAAAATATCCATTGGGATGTGGGATAGAAATATTATAATTTCTGCTAAAATTATTTTTTTCTAAAATAAGAAATAAAGATTTGCTTACATTAAATATATGAATTGACCCTAGTCAATCCTAGTGCCCTCCCTCCATTTGTACATGTTAATGGTTTCCTGTCATGTATAGTATTTGAGGTATACTTAGTGAAAAACAGGAATTCCACAGCTGAATGTGTAGTCAGTGGTGCCCTAATGATAATGATGATAATTTTGTTGTTCAGTTGTTTTTTGGTCATGTCCAACTCTTCGTGATCCCATTTGTGGTTTTCTCAGCAATGGTACTGGAGGCATTTGTCACTGCCTTCATCAGCTCATTTTACAGAAGAGGAAACTGAGGCAAACAGCATTAAGTGACTTGCCCAGAGTCATACAGCTAGTAAGAGTCTAAGGCCAGACTTAAACTCAGAAAGATGAGTGTTCCTGACTCTAGGTCCCAGCACTGTATCTACTATTCCACCTAGCTGCCTAATGATGATAATAGCTAACATTTATATATCTATTATGTGCCAGGCATTGTGTTAAGCACTATGCAAATATTATCTCATTTGATCCTCACAACAACCCTGGGTGGGAGATGCTATTATTATCCTCATTTTACAGAGGAGGAAATAGAGATTAAGTGACTTGCCCAGGGTCACACAGCCAGTAAGTATCTAAGGATGGAGTAGAACTCAGGTCTTTATGACTTCAGGCCCAGTGCTCTGTCTACTGCATCAACTTATTTCTTCTACTTAATTTATTCACTTTCAACATACCGTTATGTATTAACAATTTACATGTGTCCTACTTGAGTGGATTTATGGATTATGGTATCTACTTTTAACTCTAAGGACCTAAAAACATTCTTTTGAAGAAACCTTGCACTGAAGGTAATAGTAAAAATTGAGTGAGCAAGAAAATGTCAAAGTTGACATTTCTTTTCCTAGTAGAAGCACTTTTCCAGACACATAACACAAGGGGAAGATGACAATTGCTTCTTCTCTGGCAAATATTTTTAAAATTCAAAATTATCATTTGTATTGATT